CACCCTGTTATATAAATGTCTGGTGTGTATTCGTTAACAGAATTCAGCTCGCACATCGATACAACCCCCAGTTTCTAATCTCCGTCTGGAGTTCGAATTTGTGACTGTTTTGGATACACACGTTGCCTCCAATAGAGAGTTCCTGTTACCCTTAAAATAGCTCTTTTGTGTATGATATCTAGCCTTCCGGAACAATCATTTGTTATAATAACTACTTACATGTACGTGAACTTGTATATGTATTAATCGTGCAACGTATAAATGAGTGTGCAAATAAGAGTAATATTACAAAATTTTCTCGAACTTGCACGATCGAGAGTGTAGGCGAGTTCAAGTTGAAAGAATTTTAGAATGTCACGAGTAGTGCAAAATGTTTTGCTCATGATAAGCCTTCCAAGAGGCATTATAAACAACTTCGAAAGGGCACTGCAGTAGTTTGTACTTGCACGTCGTTTGTAACTGCACTAAACATCTCTTTGCCTTCGAAGGGGGGAGGGGTTCTCCTTTAAAAGGATCTCTCAGACCAACGTTTCTATACCATTTCAAACAATGGAACTGGATGATCTGTACATATTTTAATGTACTTTCTGAAATCCAATGATTTTATATTTTTTGCTCACGTTATTGCTTTGGTTTTAATGTCAATGAACTTTAATCTGAAGTTAGAAGTCAGCTTGAAAAATGCGTCATTTAGTTTTAAAACCATGCACTAACCCATACAAAATAGAACAACCTGCAACGAGATCTCGGGTTAAGACAATTTTGAATCATGGTACCTACCTCTACCTGTATGACTTGTATGAGAGCGTTTTCGCTGCGAGGCTGTCCCCACTATTCTTAAGCCGCTTGTTTCTGTACATTGTTTTAGCGAAAAAAAAAAAAAAAGAAATGATTTCTTTGGTATTCCAAAGTATAAAGATGTCGACAGCTTGAGACACAATGGAAACAGCTAGTCATTAGGTTTAGGTTCGTCACAACTTTTTGCTTCTCACGGCTGGTTAATTGCCGGCTGTTTAGTTATGAAAGCCAAGATTTTAACAGAGATGATAGTAAAACACTATTTCATTATTGCTTATTGCATTTCATATGCTTGAGACGACTGGGTGTTAAAACGAATGCAAAAACAGCATTGAAACCATAACACTAGCGCTCGCAGGCGATCAAAGATTACCCTATGGAGCCACCTTAAACCCATTCAGATGACGGGCACCACTCTCAATGTTGTTTCTGCTCACATCCGCATTTGTCAACGTGCTATTCACTTCAAGGGCTTCAGAAGCTTTCATATAGAGATGATCCGCACCACTATCACCAATATCGTTCACGCTCACATTCAGAACCTGTGACGCATCGGAGCGGCAAGAGCGCGACACTTTCTGTGCAAGTTAGTGACGTGTGCTAAATACGGTCCTCTGATTGGCTCATTCAAAAATCTTGCGCTCTGATTGGCTATGCAACTGTTGAGCGTCTTACACTACTCGTAGTGTTCAAATGAAGAACATTCGTTTACTTACCACAATATTGAAACCAGTTGCACATCCTTAATCGTAATCAAACCTCCTCTGAATCAATGACTGATATTCATTTTCCTACTAAACCGTTTCATATATTAGCAATTACACTACAGGTGAGAGTTTTCTACAAGCGAATAGCCAATGAGAAACAATGGAATCGCAGGAAGCCAGAGCTAGTACTTTAATTGTTAAAAGATTCTGTAGCACACCATCGCAATGAGAACGGGTGATTATTCAAAATTTCATTGCTATTGCAATTTTTATTTCTTGGCAAGCCGCCGGATCAGAATATTAAATTCAATGAACCATAATTCACTTGAATTCCGCTACTTCTTACTCAAAACGTCCGTTCTATTTTGTTCTGGTGGTATATGGTAATGTAATTTGAAAATCAAGAAAGAATACTTTCCGTAATCGGTAATTAACTTAGTGTTAGCTCGTGATATCCCCTGTAAATATTGTTTTTATTATTATTATTATTATTATTATTATTATTATTATTACTATTACTATTACTATTACTATTACTATTACTATTACTATTATTATTATTATTATTATTATTATAGGCCGCTTAATTAAAAAAAAGCTGGTTAGTTCATTTCAATATCAGCTCTATGTTGATTGTAAACCGTCCAAGGAGCATTGAAAATAACTTTGAAAGAGCACTGCAGAAGTTTAATTGTACTTGCACGTCGTTTCTAATTGCACTCAACATTTCTTTAAGCAGGATATGTCTTCGAAGGGGGGGAGGCTTCTCTTTTAAAATAAGATCTTTCAGACCAAAGTTTCTATACCATTTCAAAGAACTCAGTGAATTCGATGATTTGCATATATTTTAATGTACTTTCTCAAATCTAATAATATTATATTTTCTGCTCCCGTTATTGCTTTGGTTTTAATGTTAGTGTACTTTAATATGAAGTTAGAAGTCGGCTTGAAGAATGCGTCATTTAGTTTTAAAACCATGCACTAACCCATACAAAATAGATCAACCTGCAGCGAGATCTCAGTTAAGACAATTTTGAATTTTTGTACCTACCTAAGCCTCCACCTGTATGGCTTGCATGAGGGCGCATTCTCTGCAAGGCTGTTATCCCAATTTTTGACTCACTTCTTTCTGTAGATTATTTCAGCAAAAAAAGAGATTTGTTTGGCATTCCAAAGTATGGAGAAGTCTAAAGCTTGGGACAAAATGGAAACAGCTAGTCATTAGGTTTACGTTTGTCACAGTTTTTCGCTTCTCAAGTTTCGTTAATTGCCGGCAGTTTAGTTGTTTCCGTAGCACAAGGAAGGCAAGAGTGTTTGTTACTCCTCTCGTGAACGTACGTCAGTCCATCATTGGTACCACACGACATTTTCGTCAGGTTTCCTCAACAACTGGACGGTACCAGTGTGTTGAGAGAAACTGTAACATTAAGGTGTTTTAAAAGAGCACATCGTTAGTAACTTTTAAATCATTTTTATGTTGCATAGAATATTTAACGATCTGTTGTTATTTCTTTTTGTCTTTCGGTTTATTTGAGGACTCAAGTTTGTTACCTTATCGTTGTTTAGCATTTCCTAAGTTAAATTGAGACTTAGCATTGTTACTGATACAAAGATGGCCGTGAGTCCGTCAGGTTGCTCAATTAGGGTGGACAAAGCGGATTCAACAGCCTTTTTGACCTAGTGAATTTAAGAGCCTTTTCATCTGGAGAAACTGAGAAATCGTTAACAGGTAATGTTGTCCTTCACTCCAAGACCTCTCGATATCACTTGCCCTGGCAACGTTGAATGATATGATGTCATAGGCTTCTGCGAAAGAGCTATTTGCTTAGCTGACGTGTCGATGCTATTTGACTATTGCTTATAGGAGCTTGAAAATAGAGTGGATCCAGAAAGTATCATGTTGATGTTGCGTCAATTTCATAACATGATGCCGAGAGTGTGATATTGTCTAGCCTCTTCAAGGCGTTCATTTAGTCGGGGGGCAGCGCGGGTTCGCGCTGGGCCCCAACTAAATGAACACCTGGAAGAGGCTAGATATTGTCAGGATAACTGATCTGCGAGCCCGACTTTGCACTGACGAAAGGCGGCAGCGAAGAAGAAACATTTCACTTGAACATTTCGAATCCTGGCGTTTACCTCAGTTTATCTTATCAAGCTAAACCTTTCAGTCAAATGATTTTATATAACTTGTGACATCATCTCCAGCTTCCGGTTAGGGAACTTCCTGTCATGCAGAATATTACTTCATAGCTTCCAAGTGAGGGGAACACAAACTGACGTTCTTCATAGCTGGAGAAATTTTCCCTGCGTCACATCCTATTATTATATGTCACATTAGGTTTGCAGGTTCTCCCTCGCCTTTCGTATGCGTGCTAACCATTTGTGGGAAAAAACCAGTTGCGATGAGGCGCCGTCAAACTTTGATAACGTGGCCCTTCATGCTTGTTCCAAGGCTTGGTTGAAAATTGTAGTAAATGACGTCATTTACTCAAAAATACCACACGGGTTGAAATTATAATAACAATTAGCACAGCAATTCGCATAAAGAATAACAATACACTAATTGTTATTTTAATTTCAACCCGTGTGGTATCTTTGAGTAAATGATGTCAATTACTCCTATTCTCAGCCAAGACATGGAACAAGGAAATTAATGGCGGCCGTAAATTCTCGGAAAAAAGGTCCAAAAAACGTGGTTCTAATGTTAGTAATAGACTGAAATTTGTAAGATATCCAGAAAAAACCTACTGTGTACGAAAATGTATAAAACTGATATCGAGAATTTGATTATAGGACACTTTAAGCAAAAGTCTTTAATTCATATTAGTCACGAGCTACATCATTTCAAGCAAGAAAACATCACATTAAAGCTGAATGTATGGTATTGGATTTGGCCAATAGCGGTATAATTTATGAAGTAGGTTATTCATTAACTCGCTCAGGGACATTAATGCTTGATCATATGATAGCTCATCAGTTCTATTCAGACAACGTTCTAGCTTAGTTATTTACCCACCCACCCACCCCGCGGGCCGCATCGTTTCGGGGTGCGCCTTCGGTTGCCCCCCCTCTCGATGTGGCTTTGCTATTTCCAGCAAACAATAAAGGTTACTTAAGATATTGTATATAGTTGTTGTTTATTTGATCGCGTGATTGCGTTACAAGTAGAATTATACATAAGGGTTGTGCTTTGACGATTTGTAGTTTAAACCGCACTTGTCTATAAGACTTCTAAAGACTTGCAAAATTGTGAAAATGTCTTAGACACGCTCGTGTGACTTCTTTTGTTTAGCTACAGTGGTTGTATTTGGATAAACTATAATACCTTTTCTCATAGGAATCATGGTTTCCGTCATTTGATGTTCAGAAACTTCTTCTTTCTAAGTTAAAACAACAATAACAATGATCAAAGTTTTATAGGAAAACAAAATAAAATGAAAAAACTGAACAACAAAGAGTTTAAGTCCACCTGACAAAGAATAACTGGTCTAGATAACAAAAGAAATTCCTCTTTCAAGCGCATTTTGTTTGCCAAATGAAGTGTTGTTTACATATTTTTCTTCACCACTTTTATGATGCAAGTGTATATCTCTTTGTAACAAATGCTATACAGCTGTTTCGAGAAAGTTGTCCTACGAAAGCGTAAAGACATACGCGACGGTGCCAGTAGTTATTTTGGGTAGTGATAGTTCACCATTGTTTGATCGAAGTTCACGGTGTTCCAAAGCTATGAATGCTCCTATTTATGCTATCCTCGTGAACTTCGAAGAGGCAACGGAAAACTATCACCGCTCATAGTAGCTATCGGGATTGTTGCCTGCCCGTTTTCGCTTTTCAAGGATGACCTTTCTTGAAACAACAATGCAAACACAAACGGTACTAGAGAAATCTTTTAATGCCTTGGGTTTCTCTACAACATTTCTTTAAAACTTCGAGAAAAATTGATATGTTATCATTGCAACAATTGAATAATTACCTGTCCGGCTTGACTCCGTAACTTCCACTGTATATTTCCCGGTGTTGTTTCTATTAATCATTGAAAAAACAAATGGTAAATTAGTCTTGAAAATGGAACCTGGCTTTTCCCTTGTTGTCTCTGCTTTGACTCTGTTCTTTAGTCCGTTGAAAAAAATCCTGTGCTCTGATTGGTTAGGGCACTGACGAGCGTCTTACACTACTTGTAACATATCTTTAAATAAAGGAGATTTATTTATTTATCACAATATTGAAGCCAGTTGCATTCAGGCCCTATGACGTACAAGGAGGGCACGTGTCCTAAACACGGCTCTCTAATCGCTGGATTCAAAACATCCTGCGCTCTGATTGGCAAGGGACCTGTTGAGCATCTTTCTTACACTACTCGTAACATATGTTCAAATAAAGGGGATTTCTTTATATATCACTTGCACTTTCTTAATTGTATAAAAACTCCACTCAATCGATCAATTTAATGAAGTGTTTCATTCATTCATTCATTCATTCATTCATTCATTTATTCATTCATTCATTCATTCATTCAATGATATTTGTTTTTCCACTAAACCGTTTCAACAATTGGCAATTATACCACTGGTGCTTCTACGAGCGAATAGCCAACGAGAAACAATGGAACCATGGGAAACCAGAGCTAGGACGTTAATTGTTTAAAGTTTCAGAGGCACACCATTTCAACTATGAACGGGTGATTATTCATGGTGTTAGCTCGGTCGGGATAGCTGCTTCACACAGTTTATACCAGGAGCCATAATCGGGGACGGAGACCGTAAGTCTTGGGATCCGCGCGCACCTATGATATGGGACAATTTTTCTATTTTTAGAACAAATTGGG